GCTCATTGGACAGAAATCTGGCCAGAGTATCACAGAATCAGAATTAAATGCAACCATGTATATTGTTTTTTCAAACCTTTTAGAGTCAGTAAAGCAAGATTCTTCTAAACATAGGTTTGAAAGCATTAGCCCAATTCCAAGTTTAAGTATTATTTGAGATGCAAAATTTTAGGCCTGCATTAGCATATATAAGCTGCCTGATTTAAACATAATATATAAGATGATCAGAAAAATGTATGGAAAGAGAGGAAAGAATGAGAAAGAAGATGAAGAGAAAACATGGAAAGGGAGGGCAGGCATGGGGACATGGAGGGATGAAGTGAAGAAAGGGAAGGATGAAAGAAGATCAAAAAGAGGAAAAGAAAGAATAAGAGGGCAAGAATAAGAACTAGCTGACATGACAAAAATGTGGTACATGGTACAATTCAGTTGCATTGAAATCCATATGTTTTAGGTAGAGGCAATATTCAAATTATTAACAATCAGTGAGGTGGAGGAAGTGACCAGTCAGAATGGGCATGCTATATGCTCCAGTATGGCTACCAGCTGGCCAGAAGAGTAGATCTTAGGCTCAAATACATGTCTCACTGTGAGAAAAGCTGAAGAAAAAACAATATTCACCTTTTAGAGGGTTAATTTTATTCAGTTAAAAATTTTTGATGGGACATTACATGTTTTTTTTTTTTTTGAGAGATTTTTGCTATAGAGCATGTGCACTTGCCAGAAAGACAGAGACAAAGAGACAAGAAAGCAAGAAATCACCCCCAGAGGGGATGGCCACACCACAATCTCTTCATCTCCATTCTCCTCTTGGGATTTTGGGCATGCACACACACTTGCCTGGCATGAGTTTTAAGCCACCAAGTCTAGCATGTGAACCACAGTTGGCTACGTGAGAGTCTAGTGAGGTAACCATTACACCATCTGCTGGTCCTGGGGCATTACTTTTTAATCAAGAGAAATATGACAGTATATGAACCTTAAAGCCAAATTAATAATGATTTCTAGCATAAAATGTGGTCCTTTTAAGGATATTGGCTACTTTGGCCACTTAAGATTTTATTCCCAGTGCCTCTCAAGGATGTGTAAAGATCTTTTAAGTATCTGGATAAGAAATTTATTAATCCCACAATGCATAAGTCTAATAAGGAAGAGTAGAAAATTTCCTTCTCCCCTTTCTGCCTGTGTGATTGGCTACATCCCATACCTGATTGAGAAGCTTATATGAACCACAAGTCTTGGATGGGGGAGGGTTTGTGGTGCTAGTTCATAAGATGTTGTGAACTAAAGGAGCTCAGCAAAAGAAAAGTGTGCTAGGAGAAAGGAGGATATAATGGACTGTGTCTCAGTTTGTTTTTCCAAGAAGCAGATACTGAGACAGAGATTTGCATGTAGGAGGGAGACCAGCACATGGCATGGTGGTTAAGGCACTGGCTTCCCACATTGCTGATTGAAGTTTGAACCCTGGAACCAGTAGCTCGAAAATCATACCAGATGTATGTGTATGCATGTCCAAAATTCCAGGAGGAGAATGTAGGAGAAGGGATTGCAGTGTGACCATACCTCCTAGGGGGTGATTTTTCATTTTTCCTTGTTTCTGTCTCTCCTTGTCGAATATACACACCTTATGGCAAAAATCTAAAAAGAAAAAAGTACAATATATTTAAAGAGTGTCTTCGCAATCAACACTAGTGGAAGAGAAGGGAAGGGAAAGAAGGAGAATTGAGTAGGTTAGTGTTAGAGGCTCAATGAAAGCCACACCCAATGTCACGAGCAGTTGTGAAGCCAGATGACCTTTAGAATTTTGAGTTTCGGCAAGAGATCTGGGCTTTTATACTGTTTCAGTTATTATTCAATGGATATGGGCTGTCCTGGGATGGAAGTGTGACTTTGGGCAAAGCATATGTCTAGCTGAGGTGATTCCCATTGAGGACTGACAAAAGAGGACTGCCTTGCCATACACAGTCTCAGCAGCTGGAAGAATATATCTGCTAGTTATGAAGACGTGATCGGAGTGGAGTACATCACAGTCACTACAGCACAATGGGGCATTTACCTGACTGTTTTGTTTTGTTTTGTTTTGTTTTGTTTTGCTTAGAGGTTTTTGCCTTAGGGTACATGCACTAGCTAGAGAGAGAGAGACAGATCCAGTGAGAGGGAAAGTGAGAAATCAGCTCCCAGTGGGGATGGCCACACCACAATCCCTTCCTCTTCACTCTTGCTGGATCTTGGGCATGTACGCACATGTGCCTGGCATGAGTTTCAAGTCATCAAGTCGAGAACCCAAACCATGGTTGGCCATGTAAGAATCCAGTAACATAACTGCTATGCCATCTGCTGGATCCCTTGACAAAGATTTTTAGCAAACAATTTTCTGAAGGTTAAATAAAGTGGACGTTATATGCCAATTTGCTCCTTCTGTCACTCTCAGATTTCCCATACCTGGCTTTGAAGGAGTTGTCACTGGACAAGGCAGACTTGGCTCTTGCCCTCCAGGAACCTACAGAACATAAGGGAATAGCATTTTCTCCTTAAGTAATTTTAGTAGTTTGGTAAATGTCAGCTATTCTTGAGAGCTAAGCAGAACTAAAATCTGAGCTGTAGACATGATTCATCCCTTAAGTATTGCTTTACAATTTGAGAAGTTGCAGTTGAATATGTTGTTGAACTCAGCACAAAACGGAATGCCTAATGGATAGGGAGGGCCAGCTGACTTTGTTTTGTATTCATATATTTATTAGTTATATGGCTTTGGACAAGTTATTAATACTTTGTCTTTCTGTGCTTCAGTTTCCCCAACTGCGTGGAGAGTATAGTAGGCATTCTTGCAATGTTAGTTTATATTCTGTTAAAACGCAAATATTTTACTTAAAGTAAAATCATAAGTGTAAATTTCTTTTTTTCAATCTCTTGGTAAATACCACCTTCTCTTACTGTTTTCAACTTGTCCATGTCATAGCCACATTATGATTTGACTTCTAGTCTAAAACTTGAGTAGCTTATATCAGGAGCCTGATTTGCCTCATATCAGTATCTGTATTAGCTGACGTCTAGGAAAAGAAGGTGAAATCTGATATTACTATGGCCGGAGTAGGAAGGCCAAATCACCTCAGTAACAGAGCTAAATTGAAGCTTAGTAGCTTCTGGGCATAAACTTTAAAACTGAATAATTAAAATTCAATAGCTTTCCTGTCAGATATATTAGGAAAGGCAGTACATAACTGAAAGAAATCATAATCAAGCTGTGTGTATACACAGGACTATTGGACAACATTTTAAGCTTAATTAACCAGTCAATTCTTATTTTTTCCACACATATTGGTTGTCCTGAATCACTGGGTTGATCATGCCAGGAAAAAAAAAGTCAACTCACTACCAAACAATTGCAATTTTCCCCCAAGTAATTGACTAGCTATTTTGGAGACACGGCCTTAAAGGATTGAGTACAACTGAAAAGAAGATGAGAAATGATAACAACTGCCATTTATTGAGGTCTTACCACCTTCCAGTCTCTTGATGTTCACCTATTTTAGCACTAGGCTCAACTATTATAAAGCAGGTCTTGGTATCTAATTTTAGTGGATGAGGAAAGTTAGACACAGAGCAATCTAATAAGTTTCCTGAGGTTACAATTATTAAGTGGTGAACTTGGGATTGGAACCCAAGACATCCTGACTCATAAGCTCATGCTGTTCTTCTGTACCAATTGAAGCTAATTCTGCATTACTTGTTACTCTCCTCATACCACAACATTTGTTATTAGCTTCTAATGTACTCACTTGCAGTTACAGGTGTGTTTTATCTCTATATATGCTTGTCAGTTCACGGATGCATATGTGAACTATTAAAAACAGCAACAATAATCTTTACTACTAATATGTACTGAGTAACTGCTATGTGCCAGTTCTGTTTCTGACTTGTGTACATAAATTATTCAATCCTTCCCACAACATTTCAACGAAGGCACTACTAGTGTCTCTCTTTTACAGATGAAAGAACTGAGGCACGGTGAAGCTAAGGAGTACTTGTTTGAAGGTAGAAATGCAAGTCTACCTGTGCCCTGTTTTTGTACCACTGCAGAACTGAAAAGGTTTTTTGACATGTTTTAACAGGTTAAAATAAAAAAAGAATATTTGACAAAGAAGAATGTGCCCTACAAAATCTGAAGTATTTACTATTTGTTCATTTAGAATAGTCTTCCAATCTTTGATACAAAGTTTAAATCATGAAAATAGAAAGTAGTAAAATCAAAATATATTTCTTTTACATCCCAACCACAGCTCCTATTAAAATGTTCACCTTACAGTTTAATACAAGCACTAACAACAACAATATCATGTATCTATTATTTACTGAGTACTCTGTGTCAGACATATAAGGACAGGATTTTCATTATCCTACAGTTTTATTTAGTACTCAGAAAATCCTATGAGATGTTTTCCATTCCTTCTTTGTCTTACATATCTTCCATTTTTTAAAAAATATTCTTTCCTGCCAAAAGTGTCCCCAGTTTGTTCATATACCTATCATCTCCCATATTATATGGAAGAATATGACCAACTTAATTGTCTATTCAGGTGTAGGTCCTGACAGTCTAAGGCTCTTAGGGGTAGTCCAAGTTCCCTTGCCAATAGTCCTCAGGAGTGACCTAGTTCTGTCCAGTGTGACTCAGGGAGGGTCAATTGGCTAAGAAGTCTAGTAATAAGTTCCTTTATCAGTTAAAGGAGACACAGTAAAAGATGGTCTCTCTTCTTCCTTTGACTGTTGATTTGTCTGAATATGATGCCTTTTATGCTGCAGATATACTGCTCTAAGACTGAGGGAAGCAAAGTCAACATAGGGAAGAACATAGTTCTGTCCAGTGTGACTCAGGGAGGGTCAATTGGCTAAGAAGTCTAGTAATAAGTTCCTTTATCAGTTAAAGGAGACACAGTAAAAGATGGTCTCTCTTCTTCCTTTGACTGTTGATTTGTCTGAATATGATGCCTTTTATGCTGCAGATATACTGCTCTAAGACTGAGGGAAGCAAAGTCAACAAAGGGAAGAACACAGAAACTAGGAAAGAATGTGAACCAGTCCTTGGCATTCCTTACTATGAGGCTGGCCTACCTTAGAATTTTTTTTTTTAAATGGTTAAGCCAGTTTAAGAGTCAGGATTTTCTCCAAACTCATCCAATTATATATATTAAATATATACTTTTTTTGGTGAATCTATTGTATCTCATTAAAGATATTTTTAAAGAAAGCCAAGGTTTTCTGATACAATTGATTTCTGTAGTTAGTATTATCCCTATTTTAGTTGACGAAATTGAGCACAGCTTATTCTGGCAAAGCTGGAATTTGAACCCAGATGTTGTTTACTCTAAAGCCTATGATTCTTCCCCATTATAGTATTCTGGCTAGATAACAAGAAGAAAAAGGATAAATTTCACATACCCGATGATACATTCTGTACTGTTAAGTAACGAGAAAATTGATGATGACTGTATCTACCAGTTCACTTTTAGATATTATAACACATTTCTCTGCCATGCAAGCGTGATATTACAAAACACTCATGGCATATTATACACAAACACGTCACTGAAGAAGCTGCCAGATTGCATGTATTCCACAAATACATGTGAATAATTACAAAAGACTTTAAGATCAATCTGTCCTCAGACTGTGATGAAAGTCCCATTAGTGTTCAGTGACTCACATGACTGGGTTGACTTAACTATAGTTAGCCCCATCCATTCACAGACCCAGGCTGCTTACCTCATGTTCTGAAGTTGAATGACATTTGATTCTATTTCACCATTAGAGTGATGCTGACCTATATAGAAAACACCAACGTCCCAAAGATTCTCAAATGTTATATCTTTTGACAACATTATTTGACGCAATGCTGAAACAATAATTGTAACTTCCATGTTAAAATACTCTACTCTGTAAAAGCTCAAAGCATATAATATTCAATAAAATATAGAAGCCATACACATACATTTATCCTTAAATATACTTAACTGATATTTATATCACATCCAACTACTTGAATTGATAATCATAGCTAAACATTATTGCTGCAGTTAGTAGAATTTACAAGTATTTTATACACACATATTCACACATATATGTGCGTGCATGCATATGACTGTACACACAAGTACACACACACATAAATACACACACACACATGCATTCATATTTGGATACCTAAAGGTCAAATGTATGACATCAAAGACAGCACTTCAATCAATGTTTATACATTATCCAAGTTAGTATCTAAAAATGCAGAGATTTGCTGAGTGTTAAAAGTATCATTTTGGACCAGTAGATGTAGTGGTTAAGATACTGGCATCCACATTACTGACTATGTTGTTTGATTCCTGGACCTGGCTGTTTAAAACATGCTGTGTGTGTGTGTATGTGTGTGTGTGTGTGTGTGTGTGTGTGTGTGTGTCTGTGCATGCTCAAAATCCCAAGAAGAGAATGGAGGAGAAGGGATTTCATTGTGCTCACACCCCCCTGGAGGGGAGTACTTTCTCACTTTCTCTCTCTTTCTGGTGAAGGCACCCTATAGCAAATAAATAAATAAATAAATAAATAAACAAATAAGTATTTTTTTAAATTGCAAGTTGAATTTTCCATTCTGTTTTGCTTTGGGAATATCCATTTGCAAAAGTTTAAAATATCTATAATTTAACTTGCACCCAATTGTGGTTTTTAAAATTTTAACATAAGAAAAATTATTATGTAATTTCTTTCAAGAATATAAATTTATATAAATAATCATTCACCACAAACTAGTCCTAGATTTCTTTTTTGTTTCAGTTGCATCATTGAAATTTTTTTTTTGGTTTGAAAAGTTTTATTCCTGGGCAGTGATGACAAGATCTGTTAACCAAAGACATAATGTTTGACTCCCAAAAGCGTGCAAAACAACCAACCAACTTCGGCACTCCACAATGTAGACGAATGGAGAGGGGCAGGGGAAATCTGTGAGTGTTTACCATTATTTAATGATCACTTGAAAACCACTCCTTTTTGATTCAGCCATCAGTCAATATGTTCAGAGAGCAAGAAAGCATTTAAACACACAGTGCTGTACAAAAGGCAATATTTAAAATGAGCTCAAGGTCTTCCTTGGCTGTTTTTTTCCTTTTCTTTTTATTCCAGTTTAATAACAAGCTGATGGTGTTTGACAAGTTTCCTGAAATAGACACAGATTGCTTACTGGAAAGTTGTCTATTGAAAGAACCTGATAAAGTTTGAGAGGTGAGAATTTGGTTTTGGAGAATGTTCTTCTCACAGTATACTGAAAGTATCAAAACACATGAGCACTGAGTAGCTCTAGGGATAGAATCAAAAGTATAGCCTCATTACACTCTTTTTAACAAAAGAATTATTTTATTAAACTCTTTATTTATTTATTCTAATTTAACCAGAGAGGGACAGAGTAAGAGAGAAAGGGAAAGTGAGAAAGCAAGCCAGCAGGTCCAGGACTCAAACCATCTCAGCCATGTGGGAGTCCAGCACTCTTAACCACCATGCCACCTGCCGGCCCCTACATTGCATTCTTTTTTTCAATAAAATTACCATGAAATTTTTCTTTCATTCATAGAATTTTTCTGAAGGCTTTCAGGGCAGATGAGAAATTTCTTAACTGCATGCTAAGCTGGTGATTCTAATTTCTGGTTTCCTATTATTATCTGCAGGTGAGTCTAAGCATAATAAATTACCTTCAGTTAGCTGAGCACACATTAGAGTCTCACTCTGGCGCCCCTTCTATGAGCCCCAGCAGTATCTTGTACTTACCCTGTCAGAAAGCTTGTATAGCTCCATTTTATGTACTATTCTATTATCATGTTCAGTGCCGTGTCGCCAGGATTTCTGGCACAAAGGAGACATCCAGTGATTTGACACTGGAATGAACAAGTCTCCAGACATCCTACAGTGTGTCATGAACTTTTTCAAAAACAAATTAGCAGGTAGGCCAGAGGTTTTAGAAATCAAACAAATGAAAATGTGTGGTTACACCAATGGGGGAATTTTGGAAATCACATCAAGAAGCTGAGCCCTAACAATTAGAATTTCATTTTCTTTCCTTTCATTTTTTCAGCCTTTATTCATTCATTACTTCAAGTCACTTAGTCTGGCAGGGAAGAGGAAAATTGAAGAAGCATTTTCAACAGAGTATAATGAAACAATGATAGGGGAATCGGGGGTGACTGAAGAAGTTTGATACAGGAAGACCTTACCTAGACTCAGAGATCAGGAAACTTATGTCTTAATCTATTAAGGATGCTATAGCCAAAGGCCTTAGACAGGTAGTTTATAAACAGCATAAATTTATTCCTCAGTTCTAGAGGCTGGAAAGTCCAAGCTCAAGAGACCATCAGATTTGGGCTGTTTTGCATATATGTGTGTGCACATTTGCCTCTATGCATATGACTGTATATGTTTCTTATTTTTAGTCATTTTCACTAGTGTATGAATGGATGCTTCACATTTTCTCAGATGCATTTTTCTGAGAATAGGTTTTTAAATGGTGGACACTCCTGGCATCACATTTAAACTCCTTTCAATGCAATATTGAGATACGGAATTATAGAAGGGATGAGAAATAAAATATTTTAATTACTCAGGAAACTCACTGAACATGACATTACAGATTGCTCTTAAGGCAGAAAAGACCTAGAGGTTTTAAATCTACTACTACACCATGAGTAGCAGTTTAAGAAGAGTCACTACTTTGGAGCATTGTTCTTTTTAAACTAAAATACCCTTGTGAATATTGTTCGAAGACATCTTATCTCATAGGAAATTGAAGTCAACAAGCTATAACATATTACCTAATGGTTTAACAAGTAAGGGAATAAAAGAATAAGTGAGTTGGGAAATGGGCCACATTTAAGGGTCAGATAAATTTAGGGCATTATTGTTACTAATATTTCATTTTTTTAAGTAAATCAGTCTTTCTTGCCTCAGGACAACTCATTTGTCTGGCTCCTACTTTTCATTTGTATGTCAACTGAAATGTTAAATGTCTCTTTCTTGCTCCAGAGAACTCTCCCCTGATTCTTAATTTTAAGCTAGCCAATGCTCCTTACACATTTTATTTCCTCTAGGAATGATAAAAAATTTAACTTATCTTTATTAACATGATTAATGTCTTTTTCTTTCACAAGATTGTAAGGCCCAGTGGTATAGAAATTACAGATGTCTGGTTTCCTGTTTCGCACTAAACACCTATCACAGTGCTTGGCAAATAGTAAGCACTCAATAAATCTTTGAAGAATGAATAGATGTATGAATATATAAATGAAACCTATGATTTTGTGAATACACAAGAAAATGGTTTTGGGGAAAATTAATGACACCAGCAGTGCTAGAGATTTCTCAGCTCTTTCAGGTCACTGCTATCTAGGATTCTGTTTTATTTTATTACTTTTTTAAATCCATGAAGGGGAGCACTGTGAGTGTCTATTCACTTTAGTGATGAGAGAGTAGTCTGCATTTACAGAGCCACGTAGAAGATGGTTACATGTTTGTACATTGACTTCCAGAAAGTAACATGGAGGAGGTTATGTTACTAAAAACTGGGGAATTTTCCTTTAGTGGTATGGTGCCATGGTTCTAGAGTCTAAATCACCAAGCACAGTCTTTGTAAAATCCTTGCAGTTCATTTTTAAGTTCCTATGATATAAAGGGCATGTGAAGCCAAGGACAAAACAGAGATTCAAGTATCAGTTCACTAACTGCTTCCCTGTCACCCCTACATTTCTACGGAGAGTCAATTCTACAAGTAGGAAATCATTGGCAGACTGAACATTCTGCTCTAGATCCTTCTGTCCTGCCCGCAGGAGGATTTGCTACTGTGACATTTCCTTCTGCCTAATCTGCTTTTTTCACCACTATTCAACTAGATTCTTGAAAGATTTTCAGGATGAAAACCTTTCAAAAGGGTCAAGATCTGCCAGAGATTTTGCTTGGCCGTCAGAGGGCATAGTCCTGATTTTATACCCTTACTGTGTGTTTGAGTACCTCAGAACGTGTGACAGTAGCCTCAAAGCCACATGTCAGGACCTAGGGAGAAGAGCACAGGACAGTATCAGCAGTAATAATTGTC